AGGGATGGCACGTCCGGATGCATGCAATGAAAATGAGGTGGGGGGCGCGCGCATACGGGCCCATCGCGCCCCTCCATCCGAGGGATGCCTGCCAGGGCTAGCCGGATTCGTCCTGTAAGACCATCCCACGGGATGGACAGGGGGCTCCAATAGCCGTTGCATCCCAGATGGGCCGAGGGATGCCCCGATTCTTTGCTGGGTATCATTATGACGCCAAAAACAATTGGATTTGACAAAATTTAAAACCATTTTATTCAATTTTTAAGCCTGGCCTTCTTATTATGGTACGTGATACAGCAAAACTGGAGAAAAATGGCTGCATATTCTACATAGAAATAAGATATTGTATCCTCAAACTTAAAATGTTGAATGGAAAACACAGCAATTGTGTTTTCATTTTTCTTATTGTGCTCTGAAATCTGATGATACTTGATCGAATCTCATTCAGGTTACACAGTGAACTATAGGGAAGCTGGATCGAATGTAGATTGGGAAGAAATCCGATTGGACGCGACGTCTAATACGTACGTTTTGCGAGATTTGAAATGTGGAACGAAATACGAAGTATTCCTCACGGCATTCAATCAAATCGGGACCGGACTTCCGAGTGAAGTGGTTTTTGCGCAAACCAGCGGCTCAGGTAAGGAATCATCGTAAGGCCAGATTTTCATTTTTTTCACAATTTAAAATCAAAAGGACTTTTCAACGAGAATATGTAGAGGTCTTTCAACCCATACAAAATGAGACAGATGATGGAAATGTAACTAGATTATTTAAAAAATGGAAATTAGTTGTTAAATGGACAATTGGAAAATTGCCTTTAAATTCAGCATCTGACTAATTCAATCACCTAGTATTTATTTAAGGTCCAGAATATCGAAAATGTTAATATTCTTTAATTCTCAATTTTCCCGTGCTGTTTTCCCCTACTCGAAAATTATTTCAGCGAGTCGAATTTAATTTTTTGGTCCCTCTGTGTTTAACTAGAAGAATGCATAAATTCGATTTTATAAAATTAGAGATGTGATGCTGAATTGAACACGGTTTTTGATTATCCACGAAAATTGCAGTCCCATATTCCCCGGACAAGTCACATTTGCTCGTCATCAACACGACGTCGGCCATCCTGAAACTCGACGCCTTCGAAGACGGCGGTTGTCCCATCATCAACCACGTCATCAGCTACAAACGCAGAGATTCTTCGGGATGGCTCAATTTCCCTTCGGAAACCGTAGTGTCAGACGTGAAGCGATACAAGTTGGAGAATTTGTCCCCTGCTACGACCTACGAACTGAAAATCAGCTCAACGATGGGTCGACCGTGCAGACTCAAACTCAGAGTCAAGAGCTGCAACTGCCTCCTACCGCCACAACACGGCGGCAACCGCCGATTGGTCCTGGGGTTCCGCAGGGTCAGGCCGTTGTTGAGGTAGATACCACGCCCCGAGTTCCTGGCGCCGATCGTTGTTTTGGCCGGAGTGGCGTTCGTGTCGCTTACTACAGCGTTGTATTGTCGGAAAAAGCGTAAGCGAAGTATTTCGAAATATTTCATTTGATCAAGGTTTATTTTCCTCTGCAGTCGCACCTTAAATTTTTTTTAATGACGTACAGATGTCGCATGAATCACGCATTGTTTTCGACCAAATTAATAAGGTGGAACCTTGAGTAAAAATTTTATAATCTATTTCAGTAAGTGATGCATTGCTCAAAAGCTTCGCCATGTAAAACATAATTTCTCTTAGAAATAAATGTATTGGTTCCAGCACAAAAAAATAAGCAAGTTGTTATGATATAAATGAAAGAAAAAATCCCAAATAATGATTTGAAAACCTCAGCTGATAATGCATTTCGATTGAAAATGACTGAGAGCAGGTGCATTGGAAGCACAAGGTGAAATCAGATGTCACGAAAATCCGAGTTGTTGTAAGCGTATAAGTTTTGCATTTTAATTATGCAATTGCTGCGGTTCAATCATAACCAGAATAACAACAGGGGGAAATCTGAAACCTAAAAAATAGTTATTCAAAAAGGAATCATTGACAAATTTGAATTGGGTCTCAGCATAAAGAAACGCTCAACTTTTACAGAACATCTGGATGTAACCCAACAAAAGTAGGGATGTGAAACTTAACCTATCAATCTCCTTACCTGACGAAACACCCAATTTGACAGAATCTAAAAAATTCTTTAAAAAAATAAATTTCGCTTGGAATTTTGTACCCAACCATGACGCGCAACTAATTTTTTGCCCAGGAAATTCTTTGAAAAAAAAAAACGTACGCGTGGTACTCGACTAAATACGGGTTATCACTACTGATGACCCACGATTAGAACTGAAGTATGATGTATTACTCATTCCAGGGGTTCGAGTCGACAGGAAGCCAGAATTTCTGGCTGAAGGACACCTCATGGACTCTCAAGGAAGACCGTGTCGCGAGAACTCCTACGGACTGAGTTTCGATTACCCCAAGCACATTCAAAAACCACCCCCAGGTAAGGTTTTTAATTTCAGCGATCCCTTCAGGGATCAAATATTTGTAAAAATGGGATATTTTTTCCCCCCTTATAGGGTACAGCGACGTGAACCCATACGCAACCTTTCAACTAGCCCTACCAAACCAACAACAGCAACCGCAACAGCCGCCACAACGCGATCTGAGTTTTGGCTCTTCCTACTTTGGCAACGAATACAATGGCAATAATAGTTATCAACAATCAGCCAGAGCCGAATTTGTGTACTTTGATCCGAAGGCTGCCAATATGGAAACCTATCCCTTGCGACACGTGAGTGTTGGGTATAATATAGAGGGTATTTTCTGCCCAGAAGAACCAGGCTTTTCATGATGCGTATGTCGATTTATAAAAAAATTAAACATTCGTCCTAATCACATATCCAATTCCAATCATGTATTCTCAATTCCGATATCATCGAAATTTGATAAACGGAGTCCGAATTGTAAATGTTGGTAAAATTCTCTGTCCAATCGTCTGATGTATGACTATGAGTGATATCACTTTGTCGAATGATTCAATTATTTAGCCCAAAACAGGATCAATTTCGATTTTGCCAGCTAGTGAACCACCTTTGTTTTTTTTTTTTGAATGACCTTAGGAGAAAATTTCGTTCGAAGATGCGAATTTCAACGATTTGCTGTGCAATATATTTAAAACTCAAATGAAGAATGCAAAAAATTATGCTCAGTTTAAAGGCGCGTCGTTTAGACAGCTACTTAATTTTAGGAACGTCAGCAGTCTAACAGTTTTTTCAAGATTTGCAACGTGAATTTTATTGAGTTTCCCAAGATTTTTTTCAGTTGGATTTTCATTCGAATAGTTATTATAACACATTTATAATTTCAGACCCGCCAGGTCTTATCAACAGCCCGATCTAATTTTAAAAATATACCCCATTCTTCCTGAATTTTTCAATGTCTGTGAGTGTGCTGAAGTTAGCCCGAAAATCAAATACATTTTATTGAAATTTGATAAATTATACAGGTGTTCATAATTTCATGAACATTTTCAGGAGCATAACCTCGTAAAATCTGGAACGTCAAATTGCGTCATGCAAGCAGGTGGACTTGGATCCAGTCGAGGTGAGGAAATTTTTGGCAAGCTTTTCCACACGTCATCGCATGCATTTTTGTAATTCCGTAAACAGTAATTTTCTGTATTTCCGCAAGATTATGTCACGGGCGAATTTAAAGCCGAAATTTTTGTGAAAGTGGCTTGTTGGTCGCAGAATAATTTGGAATACTTTGGGAGCAATACGCGTATACACAGAAACATGGTAATCCCGGTAATGCTTCCGGTCATAAACAAATTTCAAAACTTAGGATATGAAAGAAAGTTCTGAGAGCAAAACATTAAAGGATTTCCATGGCGGTGAGTGAGTAATGAGAAAGTTCCAAGCTTGAAGTGAGGAAATCGGGAGTTTTTTATTATAAATTTTCAAGATATCTCTGACTATTTTGAGTACCAGTCCCATTTGTTAGACTCGTCCTGTCCCAGCAGAAACTTGTAATTTTTAAAATTTATAAATTCATTCTTCCCCAGATTCATCATTGTCAGGAGACGAATTTCATGAATTCTAAGGTCTTCCGCAAGCTTTAAATTTGAATCAAACATGCCAATAAGTCACAAAAGTCAGATAGAAAAATTCTCCGTTGAATGTTTATTCTTCGGCGAGTTTCAATTTCAAGCTACTCTTGCATATTAGTATTATTCGAATGCCGAGGAAGACGAGTACAGTATTCATCATATTAATCTTTGCTCGATTCTGTTGAATAAAAATTGAAGCTCCAATATACAGTATAAGCATTGGGTCGTCAATCAAAAGAGTTCTGTATCGTTTTGAATAGATTATGATGCGATGTCAGCTGCGAGTGATTCGGATCTCGAATCGAAACGAGGTCGCTACAATAAATGTGCATCCATGGATCGTCGTAATAAGAGGTCATCTTCTAGCAAAGCTCAAAGCAGTTCCTTCAGGATCGCCTCAGGTGAGAAAATAATCCCCTCGCCTCTTCGATAATAATTGCAGATTATTTCGCAGATTTATTTCATTTTATTTCTGTCACAGGTTCAAGCGAATGTATTCCTTCAATACACGCAAAGTTTGACACGATCACTTATTGCAGTCTGAGTTTCTCGAATATTTCAAAATTTGTAGGATTCCTCGAATGGACAGTTTTACTAACGAGTGTATATACATACGAACGACAAATAAACGGACCCTTTTACAATTAACAAATCGCCCTTATGTATAACATGAAGCAAAAAGCCAGTCATTAGTGCATTTATATTTTCTTGCTGAAACGATGAAAGCTTTTTTTCCTTCTCTGATTTAAAAACTATAATTTTTACAGATTTTCTGGGTGCTGACCCAAGAAGTTTTGAAAATGTATGAAAAATTGAAATTAGTTTTTAAAATAGTCTATTTCGTGGAGAGCATGCAAAAAATCCGTCAAATTTAGACGGAATTTCGAACAAAGCATGCTATTCAATTGAATCCCAATTTCCCTAAATTAAAAATGCGGTGGCGAAAATCACGACCAGGTGAAAAATATTAAACAAAACCATGATTTTCGCTGTATCATGGTATACCTATACCTAGCTGGTCGATACAGAAAATCACGACCAGGTGAAAAATATTAAACAAAACCATGATTTTCGCTGGTTCGAGATTTATGGCAAAAACATATGGAAAATGATCTTCCAGGTGAGAGACGACGATGACGTTCATTTTTAAATTTTGACGAGAATTTAAAGGAAAAATTTTAGAAATTTCAGCGAGGAAACCATTCTAATCCAAAAAAAGAATCTTCAATATTTTTCCATTATTTTCAGAGAAATTTTGACTTATTTCGAGTGAATGTTGAACAACGTTTCTCCATGCACGGGAGAAATTGGTCATTGATCAGTTGTCATTTATTACTTAAACTCAAAAAATTATCGAAAATGCTCCACGTTTGCCATTTATTTTAGTTTCTCCAACACCTACGTCGTAGCAAGAGCATTTTCGAATACATTTATTTTTCCAGATCTTTTGATTATAAAATCTTCAGTTAAAAACATCGTGAATGAATTCAATTCAATTGTATCGAAGATGTTCTTCTGTGCATTTCTTTTCGAAAGCTGTCGAAAAAAACCGCATAAATTGCGTTTTCACTCAATGTTCTAATCATATTCCAGGAAACAACACGAGTTCGAGTGATGATCCAGGGTCTCCCTACCTCTAAAGACACGCCTTCTTTTTGCGGTCTTCCAGTTCTCCTGGAGCTAGGTTATAAAGAAGTGTAGGAGAGCCTTGAATACTGTCCAGAAACAGTTTTAGGCTTTACTTTCAAGTCGCTACGCCTGCCGGGTCCAGAAGACTCGCCGACGAAACATCGTTTGTCAGGTGCGCGAATTACTCTTGTGCCATTTTTAAATTTATTTGACGCTTTCTGGTATGACAGGATAACATTCCAATGCATTACGTTTTTCTTCAATTTCTGCTCAATTAAATATAGTGGGATTTACGGATCTTCCCGAGTTTCGACAGGACTCGGCCAACAACACTCACCAATTTACGCGGCAGCAAGCCACGAAATTAGCGAACTGGAAGCTGAAATGGTCCACTCCAATGACGATGTGGAACTGGATGCCCGGATCCGGACATTGAGAGCACAGCATGATTTGGCAGTTAAATCACTCACCAAGGGGTTGTATTCCAGCCAACCACACCCACATCCAGGAAACCAACAACAACAACCCCGAGCATCCCGGGATTCGGGTTTCCCTATAGATGTATGACAAGAGGACTTCGAAGACCGGGTGTCGTTTGATAGCGACGACGAGCGACATCTACCCGGTCTTTGAAGTGATGTGAATACGCTCGTTTCTCTTTTTCCACGTGTGAACGCGCTTTGAGAATATGCAAGCGTGACATCTACAAGTTTTTAACAAAAACAATGTTGCGTTTTTTCGGTGCTTCCCTGGTGGAGCGAGGCATATGTGGTGTAATACTGTAATATGGAAACCTAGGGAAAATTGAGTTCTTTTCGAAGCAACGACCGAATTTTTCATTGTCATGATTTTTTTTCATGCAAGACTGGTGTGAGGGTTTTGGTTCGAAAGTTTTGCCTGGTTTGAGGTCATCGAATATTTCGAATTGATCCTCAATGGTATATCTGATCTATATAAGTTTCAAAAGCTAAAGAGTGCTTGAACTAGGTGGAGTACGCATGAACTTATAAGCTTATTAAAAACCAATCCCCAATCCCTCCCACGTAAACTTCCAATTTGACTCATCTACCTCTATAAAATGTCTGCAATGGAAAAAAAAACTTCCAGAAAGATGACATGCCCTTATTCCTTTGGTTTAATAGTTTCCGCGAAAAATGATTTCATTTTAAAGAAATATATTTAAATAACTTGTCAACCAACCCACGCATGAAAGCCACTTGGATTTTGCAATGTTTGGCTAGATTCCAGTTACGTGTTTTACGAAATGACGACAGGGTTTTATTGTTGGTCGTATTGAAGATTCAGGCCACGATTCTGAACACTCGAAAAATTACAATCAATCTTTTTATAGCAAAAAATACAGCTGTAAACAACAAAGTAAATTTGATGTCACCATTGGAAAATGCCGCACTTTATTAGACTCCTGTGCTGAGAAAGTCTTCCAACATTTTTTACCATTGCGTCAAAATGATGAAAATCCAGTAACATTGAATCTGAAAAACTTGTCTAACCTGAAGTTATGAATATTTTGCATGCTTCTGCCAGCGTTTCTCGTGCATTCTATCTTTGTACTGCTCGTCATCTGTCATCAACAGATATATTAAGATGAAAATGTCTTTGAATGAAACATGTATCGCATTTCGCCAAAACATTTTCTCAGCTTTTTGATGTTGACCGAGGATTTGTAAAGTTGTGGTGATCTTTTGAATACACCTATTTCTGTGATGCTTCTACTCATTTATATCATTCATTTTCAATTTATATTTCAGAATGGCAGAGCTGAGAACGTTCATATTTGAAATGGTTGAAAAATACACGCGGGAATAGAACATTTATTGAATGTGGTATTAATGTAAATTTTTCAAATCATCGCCCAATGCATTTGCCTTCAGTATTGCCATTATTGTGCAAATGAAAAATGTTTCTGACCCGAATTAGCATATGGCCAACCTAAATTTATGAAAAATACTGCATGCTTTGACCGACATTTGAAGGCGAAATCTATCTTTGTACAGTACTGCTCATTCGTCATCAAAATTCAGTACAAAATTTTCTTGGAAAAGATATGCATCCCATTCCAAAGAGGATTTTGAATGAATGAACAGAACACTTTATTTGCTGCTTTTTAGCGTTCACAAGGTTCACTCAAGATTTCCACAACCAAACCCCCCTTCCCACCCAACCCAAATCCACTCAATGACATTTTAATCACTTCAGAGCAGGAACGCACAAATTACCAACAAAAAATAAAAGAAAATACAATACAACATGAAATACAACTGGACATCTGACANAGCAACGACCGAATTTTTCATTGCCATGATTTTTTTTCATGCAAGACTGGTGTGAGGGTTTTGGTTCGAAAGTTTTGCCTGGTTTGAGGTCATCGAATATTTCGAATTGATCCTCAATGGTATATCTGAAGATATATTCAAAGTTTTCGATTTCTCACGAACTTGATCCACCTCATGCGTACTTGAATATTCGAATAATTTTTGGTTAGGGGTTAGGGAGGGTGCATTTGAAGGTTAAACTGAGTAGATGGAGATATAAATGTCTGCAATGGAAAAAAAACTTTCAGAAGAATGACATGCCCTTATTCCTTTGGTTTGATAGTTTCCGCGAAAAATGATTTCGGAGATTTTTTGCATTAAAATGTATTTCCAAAGGACTTCATTTTAAAGAAATATATTTCAATACCTTGTCAAAAAGCCCACGCATGAAAGCCAATTGGATTTTGCAATGTTTGGCTAGATTCCAGTTACGTGTTTTACGAAATGACGACAGGGTTTTATTGTTGGTCGTATTGAGCATTCAGGCCACGATTCTGAACACTCGAAAAATTACAATCGATCTTTTTATAGCAAAAAATACAGCTGTAAACAACAAAGTAAATTTGATGTCACCATTGGAAAATGCCGCACTTTATTAGACTCCTGTGCTGAGAAAGTCTTCCAACATTTTTTACCATTGCGTCAAAATGATGAAAATCCAGTAACATTGAATCTGAAAAACTTGTCTAACCTGAAGTTATGAATATTTTGCATGCTTCTGCCAGCGTTTCTCGTGCATTCTATCTTTGTACTGCTCGTCATCTGTCATCAACAGATATATTAAGATGAAAATGTCTTTGAATGAAACATGTATCGCATTTCGCCAAAACATTTTCTCAGCTTTTTGATGTTGACCGAGGATTTGTAAAGTTGTGGTGATCTTTTGAATACACCTATTTCTGTGATGCTTCTACTCATTTATATCATTCATTTTCAATTTATATTTCAGAATGGCAGAGCTGAGAACGTTCATATTTGAAATGGTTGAAAAATACACGCGGGAATAGAACATTTATTGAATGTGGTATTAATGTAAATTTTTCAAATCATCGCCCAATGCATTTGCCTTCAGTATTGCCATTATTGTGCAAATGAAAAATGTTTCTGACCCGAATTAGCATATGGCCAACCTAAATTTATGAAAAATACTGCATGCTTTGACCGACATTTGAAGGCGAAATCTATCTTTGTACAGTACTGCTCATTCGTCATCAAAATTCAGTACAAAATTTTCTTGGAAAAGATATGCATCCCATTCCAAAGAGGATTTTGAATGAATGAACAGAACACTTTATTTGCTGCTTTTTAGCGTTCACAAGGTTCACTCAAGATTTCCACAACCAAACCCCCCTTCCCACCCAACCCAAATCCACTCAATGACATTTTAATCACTTAAGGGGATGAAGAAAATAAAATTTGTCTCATTTGAACTGAAAGGTTTTCAGGAAATTTCCCCGCTGTCATTGGTATTCATCGAAGAGAAAGTTTGAATAAAAATTGGATTTACATACCATGTTAAAAACATATGAAGCCAACAGTTTATCTTGATCCTTTAAGAATATTTTTCTTGGCCTTTTTTATGCTTCTCAATGGTATCTGAAATTTGTGTGATACTTTGAGTACACCTGTGCTTGCAAAACTTCCTCTCAGTTATCTATGTTTATCTTACATTTCAGGACAACGACAATTCCAGATAGAGAAGGGGATTCCTAGAGAAGAGGTCACTGGAAACATCGGTTATAAGAAGCCCGTATCAGCAGTATGAAAGTCAGGCCACATTTTCGGTGGCGAAAGTTGTAATTTTTGTTTATTAAAGTCGCATCTCAGTTAATCTTTGTTTCGGAGCAAAGGTGAAGAATTATTTAGAGAAAGAGGGCGATTGTGAGTTTTGTGACATCCACTGAAAAGTGTTCCCGCGATGCTTCAAGTGACGGCCCGATGTTGCATAATCGGAAGATAACAGGGACAGATTTATCTGAGGACGTTCGAAACTGGGTGTCTGATATTTCTGTGAATATAGTTTGTCAGAGGATGCGATTTCAGAATCACACGGCAGAGGGAAATTTATTGAGTAACAGCTGTGTTCAGAACAGTGTTTTTCCGTATGTCATTTTTTTATTGTTTGCGGACTGGCATATTTTGTGAAATTGTTTTCGTTTTAAAGGCTAAGTTGCGTACATTTTCAACACATCTGATGCAATCTACAATTGAAATATTTCATATGCCTCTGTTTAGAACACTAGCTACATAAATTAACATTTCATAGTGATGGTAATTGAGCAATCGCTGCAACGTGTGGCGAAGATTGCAATTTCGATTGGGAAAACAGTTTTTATACAAATAGTGATCGCATTTGGGCTGGAGACATACAACTTGCTTTCAATCCATCTAGATGCATCAATAATCAACTGAGTGAATCAATTGTGCTTTTTTTACTCAAGTGCGAGATTTATTTTTCAGCAAGGAATTGTTGCTTTCTTCAAAAACAAATGTCCTTACGTTTCCACCTTTTCTTGTGAACTGTGAAAATTTTTCTGTGGGGACAAGAAACAGTCTAAGATTGGCAAGTTAAAAGAAAGCCTGAAAAAAATTGTGCAGGCGCATACATCCCAGAATGATTTCTCAAATGTACCACAGCATTCGCACAAGTCAATTGAAAGGAATAATCACAGCTGAAAGAATCAGAATTGGGGGAATGTTTACGAGGAATGTTAGTATATTTTAGCAATTTATGAGTTATTTTTCCAATCAATAATTTATGTATCGATTGATTGTGCATCTCAAGAATCCAGAAATTTCAGAAAACAGCTAATATGTCCTTTGAAAATGCGCGATTATGCATATACCTCAAGATATTAGGTAAACATACTCATCTGAGTTTCGGAATGACGTGGAAGGTTTTTTGTGAAAAAAAAGAATCATTTTATGGAAGAAGTTTTAATTGAAGTCCGACATCCGATTTTTGAAGAAGCAACATGTACTGTACAAATAGATTTCAAAATACATAAAATATATTTTGAGTGTTGTAGCTTGTGGGACAAGTCAATTCCTGTATAAAACAATACCCACTAATATTCATGTTGACAGTTTTTCGAGAATATTGAACCCTAAAATAAAATTTTGACACAAATTCTAAACACCAATGTCCTTTTTCAAAATTTCCATCAATATGGGAGGCATAAATCAGACACCGTATGTGTGACACGATATTCGCAAATGGGTCCACTTGATTCGAGGTTCATTCATTATCAACCAGAAAATTATTATCTCTTCGAACCAAAGGATATATTCAAGCGTATTTTGTGTGATCGACAATTTCTCTGAAATGGGACAGTGAACGACGGACTGCTGGTGCTGCAAATAAAGCGTCGTTTTCCACCGATATTGGCATGAAGAAAGCACCACTGTGTGGATTCATCAAAACAACTCAGTTCAATCTGAACCATGATCGACCAGCCGATTTTGTTTTGTTCAAGGTATTCAATTCGTTCATGATGCGAAAAAAACAACGTCATCGTATATAACCGGCCTTTTAAAATTCAGACTTGTGAGTTGTGACAGCACAGTATTTTGAATTAAGATAGTAATATATGCTTTGAATCGCGATCGCGCATGAAGTCAATCAAAAAGAGGAGAAGGAAATCTTGACTTGTGATCATTGTAAAGTAATATACATTCCCATGTATAATGTGGGTTTATGTTTGAGGCTTTTTTAATTTTCAATTTAAAATTTTTTTGGATTCGAGGAATCAAGGTCTTAATTGACAACATTCTAGCAGCAGTGAGAAAAATTATTATATACTTTTACACTTAAAAATCCTGTGAAAACTCTTCAAAGTTTTTGCTGTCATGGAAGACAACAAAAAACTTACATATACTGAGAAAATCCAAAAATTCCAAAATGCTATTTGTCATTAGTTTGAATTTTGATGATGATGATCAGCAAGCCTTATTTTCTATTTTTGGCATTCACAAGGTTCAAGCAATGTTACCACATTGAACCCCATCCCCTCCCCACCCACATTCATCCAAACAAATTTCATCACATCAGAATGGAAGATTGAGAAATAAGCTGCATCTGAATGTTAAAAGAAAAGAAAATACATCCTGTATTAAAAATATCAACTACAATATACAAACACTTTCTGAAACCCCTTATATTGTTAATGTGTTCCTCTACACTTGGTTGCCTCTAGTGCGCATGTTGTAAGGCACAGATGTTGCCTGGTGCAACCTCCTGCCTTCAGAAGCACCTAAAACTCTCCAACTGGGAATTCCATGTTAGAATTCCCCAATTGCACCATCAACTCCCATCCTCCATTTTCAATGCAAATACTTTTACAGTCCAAATTTTCCTCATACTGCATACACTTTGCCGTTTGTCCAAGCCTCACTTTTATCTGCGTGTTTCAAAATTTTGCTTGACTTGAAATATAATTCTCTTGTCTTTTGAAGTCCTTACCAAAGGGCTCCCTGCTGTGTTCCTTGGCAGATCCAGTGTTTTATATATCTGAATCTCTGTGTTTGCTTCATTTTCATTTTTCTTTGAGGCCTGTGCGCCACACATGTCATTATTTCACAATCCTGTTGTTGACCAGAATTGTTTTCCCAACCTTGTTCATGTTTCTTTCTTTCTCCGTGCAAACAGAGCATGATGCTCCCAATACAAATTGGTCACTTTGCAGTCTGCACATTCTTTGACCTTAGCCAACCAAAGTTATAAATACAGGTGTGCTCTTAGTTGAAGTGTGCTAACCACGTTTGGATGCCTCTCTAAAACCTTATTGTTGCCCTGCTCCACAACATTATATTGTATTGCACAATACTGTGTAGAAGTCATATAATAAAAATTAATTTATAATTCTCTCACAGAGTAACTTTTCTGTTTCCTTCAAAAGTTGCAGAAAACAATTTGAATCTTGGACCTGAGTTATATTGGTTAGCAATTAAATTTATGATAAGTGTCTGATCACCACTATCCACTTATTTGCTTCTGATTTGAGACAACAATTCCAAAATGTACAATGGCACAATTAATTGATGTAAATATGTACAGTTTCTTCTCTCTCCCCAATAACAAAAATAAAATTCTGAATTTCAAACAAAAGAAGCAAAATGCTCATCATAATCCTGTATCATGGAGCAAGCAACCTTCTTGTCCTTGAGTAAATTGCTTGATGCTTTTCTCAGCTGAAGCCAACCATTGAAAAAAAGATTATAGAAAAATTATTTCAGGCGGGAATGAATGCATGTGAAATCTCTAATACTCTTTAACTTCCTTGGCCATTTCAGTGGGAAAAAGGAAATTCACCGGGAGTCATCAACATCCTGTACAGACTGGTCTTCGCATGTCATTGCTTAGCGTGGTTGATTGTCGATTTCAAGCAATGGGGAATTCGCTACAGCATCATTTACTTCACCATCTGGAGTTTCATTCTTATCATGGTGGACTCTTTTCTGAAAGCAGGGTTGACACTTTGGTACACCTTCGGCGAGATGGAAAGTGAGTATAGGTCCCATGTTTATTCAACAAGATAAATATTTTGTTTGTTGGGACAGGGGATATTTCAATGCAGTTTTGGGTATGCTGCGGTTTCGATGCTGGTTTTGAAATTCTGCTGGAAATGAGATTTTTTTATATTTCAACAAGGAAGGATGGGAAGAAAAAATCACGACTTGTAAGTGATCTGCAGATAATTCGGGAATCATTAAACTTCCTTTGAGAATTGAAACGGTGATCAGGAATAAACATCGGGATGAAGACTTTTTTAATTCTGCACAAAGTTAATGGTTGTTTTATTCAATCGATCCCAAGCAAAATACATTTTGAGAGTTGTCAGCGTGAAGTGTATTTTTTCTTCTCAGCCGCCGCAATGCGCAAAAATAAAATAACAAATGCTGCGCAATTTTTTTCTTATGTCAAAGAAATGCGGCTGCATGAAGCCTACTGCAACATAAATATATCCCATACGTATTTGAATGCCCCAAAAAAATTTAAATACAGATTATGATACTGTAGTGTACGTATATCACTTTGAATGTGAAACAGGAAACTTAGTATATTTCGGGCATTCAACTAGTATATCAGTTTTGAACCTTGACATTCTTAGGAATTATCCTAAATCATAGAAGCAACTGTTGCGTCCCAAAGCCGCAACTCCGGCATCCAGTCACAACTGGACCAGAAAACTGGTTGCATTTTTGAGGCCAGTGAGCCTTGCAAAAATCCTGTTCTTGCAAGACTCACTGAGCCTCACTCAGCAAGAAGTGGTCATCACTTCTTCAATTTTCCTAAAATTGGCCATTCCTGTCCCAGGAATCTTCCTGACCCAGTCCAAGCACCTGGGTATAAAAATCTTCATTCCTCTTTGAGAGGAGAAGTGAAAACCTAGTGTTGAAGGGCCTTTTACCTGTAATTACCTCATTCAATATTCTGAGCTAACCAACCTATCTTACAATTGACTCTGCCATTACAACCATTTAATTAACAGCCAATTGATGAACTGGGCAATGAGAATGAACTCCTCCAAAAAGAGTTTGAGTTCTTATTCAAAACTTGCATTCTGATGGCTGCACAATTCAAAACTTTTGTCTGGGATGCAATGGACCCATGACAGCAACTGCTGTTGTTGCTGAAAGCCATCAACCCAAAAAATCAAGTGCTTCGCAAAATTTCTTCTTTTTTCTTAGAACTGTATTTCAACTTCTGTACCAGGTAATAATGTGCATTTCTACTCAAATATCATCATGGCTACATGAAGAGCCCTAAAAATGGTCAAAAACTAGACTTTATTTCACAGCTATGAGGCTTATTAGTACCCTGGAATGAATTTGGCTGGCCTTATACCTCTTGTAAAACCAAGTCATTGACATTTGTATCCTTCAATCCCCTTGGTTTATGATCCTGTAGTTCTATTACTGTATAACCAAGTCATAGCATTTCAACAGAAAATGTAATAATTTTCTGGATTGAAAAGGCAAAACTTTTTAAACTTTGTGAATGATGATAAATGGCAAATATAACTATTTTTATCAATCATTCATTACAATGGGGATTGTTCTTGTATGGTTCAATTCAACTGCAGTCAATCAGCCTTTGAAAGGGAACCCAATGTTTCACTCACGGGTTACAGATTAGTACTTAGAATTTCTGCGGATAACACTGTTTGATTATCAGTCCTCCAATTATAAAAATGCCAAAAAAAAGCATTTATATTAATGCCATCTTCTTCCATGGAACGTGTCTATTTATTTCCAGGTGAAGCAGAGTTGACATTCGCAATGAAAATATCTTGGCTCCTCACCAACGTGACTCATGCAAGTGCAATCATTGTCACTGCCACCTATTGGCCTTTGATCTACGACGACAGCGTCATTGAAGGAACGAATTTCGTCGTCCACGGCACCAACTCCATCTATGTTCTGTCAGAAATATTTTTGAATCGTCGTCCGGTGCTCATGGGGCACGTCATCTATCCCATGATGTATTTCATAGTTTTCCTCGTTTTCTCATTGGTGTACTACCTGTGCGGTGGGACGGATGCAGCTGGCAACCCTTACATGTACTGGTTTCTCGACTGGTCGACGCCTTGGCTACCTATCGCCTTTATGCCGGTATTCGTGCTGGGGAACCTAATGTGTCAAACAGCTCTGTGGGCATTTTCCAAAGCAAGTTATCGGATATGGGCTTGTGGGATTCGAGGAAAGAGTGAAAATGATAATTCAGGAATGCGGGTCGGAGAAAGCAACGACATCTATGTGATAAGTGAAGACGAGCGCGTCACGGTGTAGAATGTTTTGTCACTCTGCTAGTCTGCTGCGCTCAGTTCGTGGAATGAATACAGTATTTATTTTTCACAGCGTCAAGTTTATTGCTTCCAGTGAACTTTATTTCAGATTTTTCGAAAAAAATTCCGCATCATTGATTGTTTTTTTTTTGCAGATACATTTCGGTGTGTTATCCGAACAACTAAACGGGTATACCCATATTGGAACTTCAATCAAAGCTACAAAGCAGTAAATCCTTGAATTTTTAAAATTTATATTTTTATACTTTTTAAAATGACGTGTGTAGAATTGTCTTATGTGAACTTTTTATAGTTTATAATTTTTAAAAAAAGGAGCATTGTCCATGTTAACCATTGGATGGTGGCAGGTCCTTTTGCATTGTGTGGCAGTGCCAGGATTTTTTGCAGGCTTCTGCATTTCAGTTTGACCAGATGTCTGCACCAAAATGCAGAGTTTGCTAAGTAGCCAAGTCTTGACAAATCCCACAAAAAGAAAGCCATTATTCTTATAATCTCTGAATGCTAATCCTATGGCAGGGTTGCAGAAAGAATGCCAACCAACAGTGATTATTTTCTTTTTGAAATTGTTCTGCAGGAATGATAAAGAAAACAGGTATTTTTTCCAACTTTTGCTCTTCTAACCATTTTAGTTTTCTATTTTTTTACTCTTTGTGGCACAAAATGTGGCAGACAAATTCCAGCACTGTGGCCCAAAGGTTAGCATAACAATTCATAGATTAAAATTTATTAATGCATCAATTTTTCCAATCAAGGAGCATACAATTGAGTTTACAAAGTCACAAGCCCTCCCCCCCCCTCCCATCCCTCTCCGTTGCTGACCAGCAGTTGCATGCAACCAGTTAGTAACCAGTTGGAGCCAATGCCCTGCCAGCGTTTCCACCCCCGCTGTTCACCTTCCCACCCATTGGACTATAGGACTTCTGGGGCATTGGATAAATGCCTTGGCACTATGCCTAGGGTTTCAAAAACTAGTTTTCCTGAATAATCAAAGCCAAATACACTGATTACTGCATCTACTGGAGCACCACATGCAACCCTTTTCTCAAAATTGAGAATGAAAAGTTAGTGAACCCTACTTTCTGCTGGGGAGATAAGATTTTATCAAAATTTTAGGCTGGAAAATCTAGCTTTGGCATACAAGGGCCCAAAACAAGTCTCAAAAACTTCATGATCATTATGAATGTATGATTACCCCATTACCCAACCAAAAGCCCCCCCCCCCCCTCCCCACTTTTTTTATGCAAGTTTCATAACAGTGTTTGGTGGCTCTGAGAAGGGCTGCTTGATTTCATTAGTCCTCAAAATGACTGTTAAATAATCATCTTCAAAATTGCCTACTGCAGCCTCTTCCTCAGTGTCACTGATGCTCTCAATGTCATTCTCTTCTCAATGTGGCCCTCTTATCTCATCTCCTTCTTCATTAGCACATTTCTAGCACCTAGCACTGGCATTTGTGCTCTTAACCATGAATAAATAGCCATTGTAGTATGCCTTTTCACCACCCATCTGATTTTTGATGATCTGAAGTGCACCAGCAATTGGATCAACAAAGTGAACTGTAGATTTTGCACAAGTCAGCAAGTGATGATGCTTTCACATTCAAAGAATCACTGATGACCACTGCAGGTTGAGTATATCCCTTTATATACTCAACTTACAAACATATTGGTACTTGGCCTTGTGCTGGGCCTACCTGTGAAAGATGCAGATTACCATCAAGAGTTACAAGGAGACCTGTAATCCCCAATTTTTGCACCAAGGGGGGCTTTTGGCAGGGGGGCTTTTGACCTAGGGGGGCTTTTGGCAGGGGGCTTTTGGACTACACCCGATTACCCCTGTAATGCTTAAAAAACCTTCGGCCTGGCCTAGCGCAGATTTGAGCTTATTTACTGATGCAGATATGGGCCCACTCAGTCTTCCAGGTATTCTTCAAGTCCATATAAGCATTCATCTGGTCGACCAGAGAAATGGATTCATATTAGATTAAACTCTTAATTTGAGGATTAGTAAGGTTTGAAAGACATGGGCAATGTGTTAAGTCCAAATCTGATGTTTACCATCAGTTCTTATACTACTGAAGGCGAACCCACTTCAATTCGCAGCTCTTCGGGAATGAAAACAAATTAGGATCTTGAACAAACTTTTCGTAGGATAATTTTTAGTTCTACACTGGAGATTATTTTGAAAAAGAAAATTGCACAGAATGATCATCTTTGAGATTCGAGGATTATAAACGACATACTTGATTATCTTTGAATATGATTTCATCATCTAGTTTTCTTCGAACATGTTTTTTTTATCTAATCTTGACAATAATCTTTCTTGTATATTGGTGATAAACTACATTTATCAGTTCACTGAAACCTGTCTTCCTAGTTACAAGCTTTCATTCTCGATGTGATGTGAGTTCTCGGAGTCTTTCGCGGGATTCCGTTCAATTTAAGGTTCCATCGAAAGTTTCCCGATTATGACAACAATTAATGGACCAAAGGATTTTCTATCCAGAACGCAGTTCAGTTTTCAACACGATCGACCGTCCTCATTTTTTCTCTTGAAGGTGCGAAAGATTTGAAAGTGTCAATCTATATGTTCGGATTTTCTCGTTCTTGCATTAAACTGCTTTCTTCAATGTTGGAATATTACCAATATTCCAAAGACTTCAATGCAATATTTTGAAACAAGATTTCTCAATGCAATATTTCACAAAAACGTTTTAATCAAATATTTCATGATCATATTTTCACTGCAATATTTCATAACAATGATATTTTCAAACTTTTTCGGTCTTGAATCCAGCTGTTTTTTTTTATGAATTATGAACAATATTTTCAAAGCAATATTTCACAGTATTTGCAAAAAAATATTGCACAATATTTGCGAAACAATATTGCACAATATTTTCAAAACAATATTGCACAATATTTTCAAAACAATATTGCACAATATTTTCAAAAAAATATTGCACAATTCTTTCAATAAAATAGTCGACAACAATATTTTCAATTCAGTACATTATTTTACAAAAACATTTCCAATAAAATGTTTAAAAGAATATTTTCAATATTTTCCCAAGTTTATGCATATCCTTTTTTATTTATTTTTTTAAATAAAACAGTGGGAGAAAACAGCAGCACCGGGAACCATCAACATTGCTTATCGCACCGCAGTCGCAGTGCACAATGTGACATGGCTGGCATTATTATTCTACCAGTGGGGATTTCGTTATGCGATCATATATTTCACGGTCTGGAGCTTCATCTTAATCACAGTTGATTCAGTAATCAAAGCCATGAATTCTTTCGGGGTGTTCTTTTTCAAAGACGAAGCCGATTTGACAGGTGAGAAAGTAATTTTTTGAATCACGTGTAGTTTTGAATTAATTAAGATGCTATATGTACAGGATTTACTTTGATGAGTGTGTTGGGCTTCCCGGGTACTTTGATTATTATTATGAAGGGTCAACCTGATGATCGTCCTTTTTTTTAAACTGTGATTGTTTCAGAAATTCTCATTTTGCGAAGCCTTGTGTATATTGTTGAGGAGAAAGTTCGATTCGATAAATAGATGCAGTTCTGATGCCTAATTTAATTTTGAATCTGAAATAATCTTCTAACTACAAAAAATTAGAGAAAATTCATCTGATATTGTAAAAGACGTACATTATTTATCCAAGTACCATAGGTATACATCTTTTCAAAAATTGTGATTCAAGGTACAGTACAGTATAATGGTGAGCGTATATGATAGGCTGAATATATAACGATTAAATAAGTAATTTAAAAAATTTCTGCCGTGTTTGATGTGGCTTTACATTTCATTCTTAAGTTTTGGAAAAGATAAACAGGCGATTTAAGACTGATTATAACAAGGATTGATGAAGCCAAGCTCATTATTCAGCATGAATTAAATATGGAAATAATTTTCAATGAAGTACCAACATGTTTGATTTTCATGAATTGAGGTCTGCTTATTTTGTAGTCCTGGTACGCTTTATTTTTTCTCTCAAGGTGCACGTCTTATAGAAGATACATGGGTACTGTTCTAAATATATAGGCACTTTATTCTCCATTTCGATATCCATCAACACAAATCAGAAAAAATATATAAAATCATTTGAAAGAGATTGAAAGTTATCTGGCTGCTTTTTTCGACACACAAGATCTAACTTTGTCAATGTGCGGGAAACAAGTCAGTCTCACAATTTTTCTCCTTGCAAAACAGTGTTTTTTCTTACAGTCAATATAATTGACCGTATTATTGTTCTCATGAAGAAAAGTTCTGTAACTACCTTCTGCTGCTTTCTTTCCCGAAATGGTTGAAGATTTTTCACGTGGAACTGGAAAAAGAAATGAGCATGATTCATCTGTGTTTCTATTTTTGATAGATTATTCACCGAAGCTTCCAATCCTCATGAAAATCTCATGGCTCCTGACTTCGGTGTCTCATTGCTGTTCGCTTTTCGTGACCCTGGCATTTTGGCTGTTCCTCTACACCGGAAACTTCGAATTCAACGTCAGTTTCGTGGTTCACACTTTCAACTCTGTCTACGTTCTTTTGGAAGTGTTTTTCAACAGATTACCGGTTTATATTGGCCATGTCATCTACGCATTGATTTATTTCTTCTTGTACGGTTGCTTCTCTCTGGTGTACTACCTTCGTGGAGGAACTGATGCCCAGGGTGAAGTGTGTTTATATTGGTTTCTTAATTGGTCTAGACCTGGGTTAACATTGGGTCTGATGTGTGCGATGTGTATAGGGCCTATTCTTTTCCATGTGTTTTTGTGGGTATTTTCGAAAGCGAGTTCCAAAGTGTGGGGATGGGGGAGAGAAGAATATAGTGTGTCACGGCGTCACCACTTGGAGCATCTAGGCGAATGAAGTTGATGTTTTCTATCAAATTTAAGTAGATGTCGCTTTTTGAACACTTCGTTCGCACGGTTGTTCGATTATTTCGGTGATGCTGTTTTTTCTACTACAGTACTTTTCATAATTTTGGATGAAGTGCAACGTAGAATATGCTGAATAAATCGCTGCTAACTGCTGAACTAAATTAGGCGTAGAGTATTTTCTTTATCCAAAATTTTAGATTTGTTTGCGGAGGAACATTTTATGAGGGCTTCATAACTTTCTCGCCTTATTAAAAAAAATTTCATGTTTCATGCAGATAATTTTCTCTCCTAATGCTGCATTCCAGCCAAAGGAAATAAAAATTCAGAGGTATCAAATCATTAGTGTAATGCTCATTTATGTGTTTTAGATTGTCAATGACATACAATTCGGGTATATATGCTGTAACTCCTCAAAAGTTGGATGAATCGATTACGGAACATACCCTTATTGCAACCGCTGGTCATAGAGAAAAGTACGATTTCCCATCGGAATCCGGCTGATTGATCCGAGAATATTTTCTAATACTCGATTTTGTTCTCAGTCGATGAAATGTTATTGTCGATCACTGTATTCACCGATCAGTCCGATTCACGCCCACGTAGAAAATTGATCAGCAGAGGCAAATCATAGTTCGAATGACACACTTTTCGAGCCAAATGGGTTTCTATGTCGAATAAAATTCGTAAGAAGGGAAAAATAAAGACTTTTACAGCAAGCAGTTGAAGCCGCTGCGTCACTCATTGTCGACTCATGCGGGTATTATATAATATTACCAGCAGTTAGTGATGGAAGCCTGAGCACTGTCAGGCGTCAGCAACCTTTATCCTCATTCACTCAAAGTGCTCGTGACAACAAGTGCCTTCACACTTTGAGAGAATCCGACCAATATGGCAAGCAAAATAGGAGCCATTTGTGAGTTGATTTGATTTGAGTGCGGAAATTTGAGGAGACAGTGTTGAAATTTTTTTTAAAAATAGCCAAAAATATCGATTCTAGTCAAATTCCATGCGCGCAGTGGAAAAGATTCAAGTGAAATTCAAATAAAGTGGCTCAACGAAAAATCTAGATATCCTTTTCACCTGCAAAAAAGACTGAATTTTTTTTCAGGGGACAAGAGTTTTTTTTCATTCTCTAGTTATAGAATTTCTGCTTCAATCGCCAATTTTTGTTCTGATTATGCAATAAAGACCTTCATTAAAGTACTATATAACAGTGTTTCCTGGCCTTGTTGGGCTTGCGGACCAGCAAATTTTAATGAATCACTTGCAGACTGAAATATTTTCATATAAATTCCTGCAGACTGGCAACCTTCCATACAATAATTTGATGACCAGCAGAAGATTTTAAGATACCTGACATACAGTCCTCAGAGCAAGACTTGTATATGGCAAAGATTAAGTGAAGAACCCATGAAGCAGTTACACAGTGGAAATGTCTTTAAGAAATAAAATGCTGGGCTTGAAGAAAGATTTCTCATGTTGAAAACTGGAAATAATATATTTCAGCAGGTGAAAATGTGCCTGAATTTCGATTTTCAAAAAAAATAACAATCTATTTTTCATCAGATGATTTCAACTGACATTGTGTCCAAAATTTTGGATTGCAATAGCAGCCTCCATTACTACATGTAATAAATTTATTATGTGGAAAGAAATTTTCCTGCAGACTGACAAAAGATCTTCTGAGGACTACTGCTGGTGCCAGTCTGCAGACCACAGGTTGGGGAACACAACTGTATAAAACTATAAACCATATAGCTAAAAGAGAATCAGTTCGTTCTTAGAGCTCATCTGCAAATAAAGTGTTGCTTATTTTTTAAGTTCAAGTTATTTCCGGGCTTAATTATACCTAGGGAACAGCATTCCAACAAGGATAACGCTAAGCTGGGTTTGCTTCCTCGGGACCGCAATTAATTATGCGTTGAGGTCTAGCCTGAGTTTGGCGATCGTAGCCATGGTTAATTACACTGCAATCCCACATGCGGAAGGCCCAAGGACGTCTGAAAGCTGCGATTTCAATGCCAACAAAAATGCCTCCCAGGAAACTGAGGCCAACGACATCAAAATCGAAGTACAGTGTAATTAAATTGAATTTAACGGAATAAGTGAGTCATTATTTAATTTGCACTCTGTGATCCACACGAGCTTCGCAGAATCAAGGAACATTGATTTGGGACGAAAGCATTCAACAATTGACCATTTCTGCATTTTACTGGGGCTACCTGGTTTTACAAGTGCCGGGTGGACGATGGGCTGAAATGCATGGTGCGAAGAGACTGATTTCCATCAGTATGTTGGTGTCCGCTTTTTGCACGTTTTTAGTGCCAATTTGTGCACAATCTGGATACATTTTGCTCATGCTAAATCGAGCTGTGATGGGAATTGCTCAGGTGAGAAATTCTCGTCATATTTTGAATGTGGATACAGCAGCGTTGCATACACATGTTTTGCAACATCTCTTGCATGAATGTAGATGCATCAGAAGTCACAACCCAGGAAAACTGCTCAACATCCCTGAATTTGTCAAACACATGTTTTTTTATGGTTTATATGGATGCATCAAAAATGATGAACATTTCAACCATGATCAGGATACATGAGTGGATGCATTCCTACTAGATGCTAGGTTGACTTGGCAAATAAAGTCACATCCATTTTGGACTTGGGAAGGATGTGCGTGCTGTGATGCATCCTTGGAAGATGCATGACAGATGTGTGATGTGTGTTTCCAATCCCAGCAAAGAATCAGCAATTTTGTAGTGTAAATACACATCAGACATGAATGACCCATATTTCATGGCTTGTGCTGGAAATGGGTGATTTTTTTGAATATGGGTGAGGATTGATGGTAACTTTTGCTCTAAGAAATTTGAGATATTATCAAAATATGCATAAAGTTCTGTTGCAGCAAATCTTGTCATGACACATTATTCATTCTTGAGAATTGTTCCTTGATCCCTGAAATTTCTTTATGGGGGAAATGTCATAAAAATCTTGTTATAAGAAACAAATTTTCATTTCTAATGCCAGTTTCTGCTTTCATGATGAGTGCATGGACCATAAAATTTTCAAAAATGTGGCAGAATGTAAGAAGACCCAACTTATTGTGGATAACTGGAAGACCCTCAAAAACTTGAATTCTAATATTTTTGCATAAAATCTAACATTGCTGGAAGTACAGTCAACCCCTGTTAAACTGCCCCCCGATAAACCGCCACCCTCTGTTACCACCAACTTTTCCTCCAAAACAAATCTCCCTAATTGTAAAGCCTAAGGAGACCCCCGTTAAGCCGCCAACCACCATCCGCCAACTTTTTTTAAAGAACAAACTGGATATTTGCATTGTTTTTTACCCCAATAAACCGCCAATGTTTTTTTCCTCCATCCAAGGCAATTGAATTTTAGAATCTTATCCAAGGTGGCATGGCCAGAAAAAAAATCACAATTCATTATTCAGGAATGAGCACTCATTGAACAAATTTGTAGATGAAAAAGTTGTAAATTTTAGAATACAAGTGACATTGTGGTTGAAATTTTTAAATATAATTTCATTTTATGAATTTCCTGGTGAGACAGAACAGATTGACTTTGTGCTCAACTTGTATGCCAAAAATAATTCCTTCCAGCCTTTCATTGCCCAATGCTCCCCTC